TTAAGTGTCAATATTGATTTTATATTTTCGACGATCGGTAAAAAATGTAAAAAAAACAAGTAGATGATAACTAAGAAGCTCTATTACCTGAAATGAAAACTCATTATACGTCTTACGACTTGAGAAAACTAATTAAGTCTTGTGTGATTAAAAGAGATACGTTCAAACTTTATATTCATAAAGACATGTTTAGAGAAATCCTTTACTAAAAATATTATTTTCTTTTGAATTTCCAAAAAAGTGATCTTTTTTGTTAAGACCAATATTAACATTTAACGAAGAGTCTGTATAGACATCTTTCTACCATTGATGAAAAAAAAACAATTTATTTGCTTGAATTGTAGTAGAGATATTTAATTTTTCCTTGAGTTAAGTGACTTTTGCACCATCTTGTAGATAAATGCAGAAACTTCGGATTTTATTCCGAAATTCTATGAATATCGTAAAAAGTGTATCAGAAAACATTGGCAAAATATGAGTATTGTTCGTAATAATTCATTTAATGAAACTTACTTTCGAATTTTATCAAAATTTATATGAAAGAAAACTGTGTAAAGAATTTCACTACAGTTTCAATCTACTTTCTTAAGTTATTGTCTGAATGAACAAATCATAACATTGATCGATTTTAGTCATATATTATCTTTTTGAGGACAAGAATAAAATCACAATTGACAGAGCTGAAAATATTAAATGAAATCTTGTAATGATCATCATTTCGTTATTTTTTATTGAACAGATTGTTTTATTTAATAGAAATTCACGTAGGAAAAATATTAATATCATGATACGATTCTTTTTCCTCAAGTTTGCTTATCGATAAAATGCTTAAATATTATTTGCATAAAAATTATTTTATAAAAAAGAAAAAACATATTGAAAAAGACTTTTATCTTCTTTTCTTATTTCTTCCATATAAATAGAAACATTTTATGATAACAAAAGATACTCCTGATCTTTGAATATAGATTGAGAGAAAGAAATTGATTTTGAAACATTTAGATAACATCGAGACGTGATGATTTATTGTTCGATAATACAAAAAGAATAATTCATATAAATAATTATAAAAACCATTATAGACAAAAATAACAAAATATCTTTTCTGTTCTATTCGTAAAAAAAATGAATGATGATCAATTGATTTTATGTTCAGACTCTTGTTTCATCTTTGGATTTCTGATTCAATATTCTTTCTTATCGATAATTAGTTCTCAAATCTTCCTCAGAATGATATTTCAGAAAGTGAAGGTGAAAGATTGAAAAATGTATAGAGGAAATATATCGTTTCTTCATAAATTAGTTATAAAAGGTATCATGAAAAGAATATTCACTAATTTTATCAGCACATTTACAGAACATCAATGGATATATTCGATGGTGATTAAGAACTTTCAAAATTGAACGATTTCTATCTGAGAAAACGACAAAAAAATGTAAAAATACTTATGTTTGAAATCGATTATCTAATCG